TACGGGTCATTACGCTGAAGCTGGAACAGTGAACGTCCTTGTTTGGGTTCTATACGCTAATTGTCACAGCTGAGGGCGCATAATGAAAGCTGTCTTCACGGCAGTCCTTGTGTAACCCCGTGTTCTCGGAAGTAGTTTTTCTGACAACCTCCTCAGAGTTACCGGCTGTGACTTTCATACAAAACGACAGATCTGATCCTGTGAGTGTCCTTATATGGAGAGTATGGTGTGACTGTGAATTTGGATCTTTGTCTACCTTTTCTGCTTCCAGTAAACCGGTAAGATGATTAGACAGGAAGAGTACAGATAAGGGGAACAATGGGGGGGGGGGCAATAAGTGCTATAATCTAAAGAAAAAGTGCATTTGGAGTTTTTCAGGGTCAGCTTCTCTGTAAAGTCTTCAACGATACAGAAACTGTCTGGACTCTCGACCAAATCAATCCTTGAACAGATGTAAATATGGATATTATTGCAGTTTTTTGCGCATTTGCTTTATTTTTACAAGACGGCAGGCTGTTTCTGGGGTTTCTCTAATTACGAGTAAATCAGGGTACATGTGCAGTTGGAGTGTTTCAAGTCCTATTTCTAACTTTATTTTTTCTCAAAAGGACATTGAGGTTTCCCTCATTTCCAATGCTGTCTGGGTTACAAGCACATTCAAAACAAGCAAAAACAACAACAACACACACTTATAATCAGTTACAAAAATAAATGAGTCCAATTAAAACAGCATCGAGAGGCTTCAGAGTTGAAGCTGCAGCATGTCTACAAATGACATTATAACTGACATAACATACTTACACTAGGTTTAAATTGGGGAGGGTAAATGACCATGTTGTCATGGCATAGCCCGGAGGTTTTATAAGGTGTAACCTCCAACTACCTGATGAGTCATAATTGAGAAGTGGTTGGAACTCACCAACCTATTATCAACTGCAGGTCAGAATAAGACTGTGAACTTTCCATACATTGTTTATCTGTTGTTGTTGTTTTTTTTTTTATCAAAGGTTCATTGTAAATGAAGCACAGTAAACAAGCCAAGCCTGACGCTCCTTAAATTGCACAATCATGCCTGACAGATATAACCAGCACACTCAGGACAGATGCAGCCCTCGATTGTACGAGAGATGTAATTATTCTTCTCTAACCGTCAGAGAAGTCCAATGAAAGGCAATGTCGTCCCTCCTCTGAGGAGATGTGAGATCAGCGGGGATGAGGAGATGCGTTAAAGGCATAAATTATAGTGACAACACCGCTTAACAAAGCCATTCACTGTCATCTGCTGTGGTTTATGAGGGTCCGTATCCACCGCCCTTAATGCTGCCTTGGCTCCTCTTAACCTTTGGAGCCATCAGTGTTAAAGTAAATGTCATTAAATACACACACACTAATGATTGCCTTTGGACTCCCATGTCACTTGCAAAATTGCTAGTCTCAGCCTTGTTTTGTCCAGCTGTGGTTTTTTTTTGCAGTAGAAACACAATATGCTGAAATCCTCCAGCAGAAAAATATACAAGAGGGATTTTCTCTCTTAATCTATATGAAGTATAAGCACACCAAACACAGGGTTCATTCTCATTATCAGCAGACAGCTATAATCTTAGCCAATGGGGAAGTGCAAAGAAAACGCATTACCTCGAGTGTCCACTAGAAACTGGCTGTAATAGCCCAGGAAGTCCCATACTAAATATCCCATATTAAACTGCCCATCTTTACAGCAGAATTAAACATGTTTGTAGCCTGGTTTAAAAGATGATTTGGGTCTGGATAGCTCATTCATTTATCTGTACACACTGTATGGGGGATGAATTTCTGTATAAGTCATCCGTTTTGATAATATTTAGGCTCAAATTTATGCAAAATAAGGGGCGGGGTTGAGTTGACTGACAGGTGGGTGTGGTATAGCTGTTTGCCAGGAGGTTTAAGGCCCGCCTTAGCTTCATCATCAAACCACCAAAATTAAGCTATAGACATAACTTTGCTGTTTTTATTGATTGAAATAGTGTCCATAGTGCTGTATAAGAGTTGTGAGTCCCCAAAAATTGTAGTTTATGTTAATATTGTTTGTTTGTTAGTAGTCAGGTGATATAATCATTGGTCATTTTGAAGAGAAGGAAATTTACACTTTGCTAAGCCTTTTTTTGTATTTGTCAGCATTCTGCGCCAGTCATATGACTGAAAGCTAGAAATGGACTCTACATGGGTCCAAAATAATAAAAATGGTAATTTTTAATGTCACAATTGCTATGACCATTTTTAATACAAACTTCTATTCTTCCCTCCCTGCTATCTGTCTTTTATCTCTTTAATTTAGCGTCTGCCAAGTTAGTTCTGTCTATCAACAGGTCTTGCCCAACTCCTTTATATCTGTGTGTATATAGCTGCTGCGGCTCGTGATTAGATACGGCTCTGGATGAAAAGGCCTGCTGAGAGACGGTGCTGGCTTCTCAGTTGGGATGTGTATGAACCAGGAACATTACAGAGCCATCATCACAATGCTGCAGCATAAAGCTCAGCCTCTGGTGCTGTACAGTAATCATATCCTGCTGCTTGAGTGAACGCTGGTGAGCTGCAGGAGGTTGTGATACAACAGTCATAATGAACCCCTTGATGACAGAAACAGAATAGACCTAGCTAGATTGTAAGAGCGCAATCCAAGTATGGCTGCAGTTTTAGTCTGCTGCGGCAAATACTCATCAGCGATTGGAAACTATAGAAATTCTATATATACACTAAGTCAACCTTTGAGAAAAAACAAAAGGAAGAAATGTGCATACATTGTTGTGATATGATGGTATGCCTTTGTTTTGCAGTAAATTAACTGAAAATCATTACTTATCCATGAAAGGAGTTCTTTTTCAATGATGTTTTAAGTCTAGTGGCATTTAAGGATTCATGATTTGTTAAGGTCTCTTTTCTTTTCTTATAAAACATCATGTTCTCAAACAGAGTCATCAAAAACAGCAGCTTGGTCTGTGACAAGCAAAAGAAATATGCATAACCTTCAGATGATGTCTTCTAGCTTCATGTTATTTTTTGTTAAAGTAAGAAAAGTTGAGTGAGTAAAATACAGAAAATTACCTTAAAAAGTATAAAACCAGCCAGGAGCGAGCGCACCAGCTGGGTGTAAAATAAATCTTATCTCTTACATTGGCATTAGCTGTAACAAACTTCCAGTCTCTAATTTATACCCAAAGCCTACAGCAAAGAACAAAGGAAAGAACGGTAGCTGCGCCTGGTCTTACCATGCCCATTGGATGAACATGAACATTGTTGCCTAGTAACACACTTACATCCCTTACGTCTCCCTTCTCCTGTCAAACTATCGACAGAAGACATGGATAACACAAGTTCAAAAGACGCTAAATCATAATTGAACCCATAGATAAATCAAATGCCCTTGCTGTGCTAACACATAGGGCATTGTTACCTGCCAATTGGGGTGTGCACTAAAAGCTGGATGTCAGCGGGACTTCGTACTCTATCCACTGGCCTGTCCTGTGAAATAAAGGCACAACCCGGTAGTTGCCAAAGAAAATATTGAGTCGTGCCCAGAGTGTCATATTCTGAAGCTCGTTGCCACAAAACCCAAGCTGCTGAGTTTGAAAAGTTAGGAGAGAAGACGTGGTGAAGAACAACATGTTAACATTTGTACTACTTAAGTTTCAGAAGTTGTACAATTCAGCTTTGAACATTTGCGGCACAGACATTTAATCCTTAATTTAAAAAAAGAAAAAGATTGAATGTCATCCACAAAACACCACGCTTTCTTGGAATATATATATATATTTTTTTCCCCGCTAATGCACAACATTTAGCTTTGAAAGCCTTCTGTAAAAGACGGGGTGATCTTTGTGTTATTTCGCATGTGAAGTTGTTTTTGTATGAAAGTGCATTTCTGAACAAGTTAAAGTGCTTGTCAGAAGATGATGGGGAGCCAGCACATTTATCCGTAGACGGAGCATCCATCAAATGCCATCATGCTAGAAACCATCATGACCTCAGCTGTGATTGCTGTCAATTTGTACCAAACTGTTTGCGTTCAATCTTTTTCTTAACAAAGGGAACCTCTGGCAGCCCTCTGACTTCTAAAGGCCTACACATGCTGGTTACAAATCACAAAGGTATGTTTTCGCTTCAAGTGCTCTTAGACTATCAGGGAAAGAATACAAGCTGCTTTTAGGTTTCAGATAAAGAAAATATGTTCAGGGCTGCAGATTAAGGTATGATGTCATATGTTAAGAAGGTACCAGGAGGGAGAAAGAGAGATGTGAAGAAGGAGGAGATGTTTTATTTCATGCATGCATTTGTCAAAGGGTTGCCAAACTTTGAAGTTGAATCTGATTGCCTGCATAGCTTAACCTCGTGTATTTATTACCTGGGGCTGAGGCCGCAGATGTTACATCAGTTTGTTCTTTAAAGCCAAGGTGAAGGAGAAGATCCAAGCAACATGTACAGCAGTTCTTTGTCAATGTCAATCTTCACAGTCCTTCAACTAGTGATGAGCCGGCTCTATGTGCTGGCTCTTTTGCGTGAAAAATGGGAGTTGGCTTACCAGTTCATATCAAAATGAAAGATACAAACACAGTTGTACAGCCCCAAGTAAATACACACTAACCAGCATGGACAGTGGAAGAAGGAAACCTGCAAATATAAGTTTCTAGAAGTGGCTATTTCAGGCTATACAGGTTTCAGGTTATTAATGCATATTTGTATGGTTTAAGGATACTTTTACTATAAAAAAAAACAGATTTTGCTGATTTCTTTTTAATCTAAATGTATACCATGGAACTTTGTCTCTTCTGTAGAGGGATGACTTCATAGCTCCTTAAATCGCAATCCCCTCCAGAGAAAAACACCTTCTGTTTGATCCCATCTGCTCGAAAATGTTCCCTGACTTCTCTCCCTCCCTTGCTGTTCATGTTCCTCTCTCCCTCTCTGGTGTGATTGGTCCGTTTTGTGTCACTGTAACCGCTGCTGGTGGGTGGAGACATTCGCAGCCTGCTGTTTAATACCGCAGGAACTGCTATAAAAACTCTGCAGCTTGAAATCGCACCCCAGCCATCTCTGTCACCTTTTACAGCCCCAGAGCTGACTTTGGATCTTTAACGTTGAACCATGTGTAAAGGACTTGCCACACTTCCTGCAACATGCTTGAAAAGGTAAGAGATGTAGCTAAAAGGGGTATTATATTCCTGCTGCTTCAGTAAACTTGTATATGTTAAGAGATTAAAGAAGGTTAGGCTTCACATTTCAAACACTTGCTATTTCAAACCAGTAATAAAGCTTCAGACGGTGATATGTAGTAAACAAAATTGGGTTGTTTACATGAAGCAGATCGTCTTACGAGCGTGTCTTTGTGCCAATATTTTTACTCCAAACAAACTGCAATGTTCTCTGATGCATTCTCACTCACTGTCCTCTCATCTTCACCCCCCCCCCCCCCCCCCCCCCCCACAGTGCCAAAGACATCAAGCACAAAATCAGCTTCTTGCTGGATCAGAAACAGACAAAGGAGAAGACTGCCAATGCTGCTGCTGCTGCTGCTGCTGCTGCTGCGAAGAGGTCAGAGAAAGTTGAATATGTGGATGTTGTTGTAAGGTATCTGATTGATCATTTTTCACATCCCACGTGTAGGAGAATTATCGTTGAAGCAAAGCCTTCTGTGTGCATGTCACTTTGGAGTGGCTGTTGTTATTTGCAGTGAATGAAAATCATAGATTTAATATCTTTCTTGAAGCACTAGATGAGAAAACAAGATGAACAAGGTTTTGTCAACATCCAGTATGATGTTAAATTAACTTCTTTATAAAATTAGAAACACTGCTTTATTATGAGGTGCTCAATCGTTCAACTGCTGTCTTGAATAAGTCCTGTTAAAGGTTAAAACATTTGAGTTTGATGGTAGTTTTAATTGAAGTGAATGTGTTTTATTCACCTTGAATCGAAATGGATCCAAGAATTACTTTTTTTCCTTAGCAAAAATAATAAACATAACTGTACCATTCACTTATTAAAAATGTCAAGGACAGAATTACAGTGAATGGCTATCCAATTTGCGGTGACTTAAATGACATAGTGCATGGTCGTATTTGTTTAACGTATGACAGGAGATGTCCAGCTGTCACAACTCATACAGAAAACATTCTCACTTCACAACATTTTACTGTTATAGCCATAAAAGTGTTTTTCATTGCGCAACGTGATCCTTTAATTTTTATAAAATGATAAAAAAATATATTTTGTATTAGTTCAGTTCCAGTATAAGTTCAAATCAGATTTGATTTCAACCCTGATGAGTCCGTGGAATTAATCTTAAGTTCCCCTGAAGGCTGAAAAGAACAGCTTCTTATATATCATGTAAACACGTTTCTCAATGAATCCTTTGAACTTCATGCATTTTAGTTGTCTTGGTTCCAATTGGATCCAGTTTATTTTTTGCATCGTATGAATGACCTCATGCAGTCCCCTGGTGGTGGAATGAATAACCCACCGGCATCCGATCTGCAGAGTCCTTTTCCACCATTCGGAAAAGCTAAAGACCCACCTCTTTCATGAACACCTACGCACTTAATGTTAGTGATGGGACTGACAATGATGATGACGATGACTACGATGATGATATTTACGATGGTGTTGTTGCTGATTAGAATTCTCGTGAGAAGCTGTCGATGTTTTTCATGATGATGACTATATATATATATATATATATATATATATATAAAAACTGTGCTTTGCCTCTGAGCACTTCCTGTCAGCACCTGGGTCCAATCAGACTTAAAGACTTGCTTGTGTTGTATTTACTCCCAGACGTACCTTGCTCTGTAAACCGCTTCTGCTAAAAACAAAAATGATTTGCAACATAGCTTTGACCTCAACCCCCGGTGACTCTGAACTTGAACCTTAAGACTCTGTCGACATAAAACATAAAAGTTGACGCAGGTCAGGAGGGGAAAAAGCATCAAACTGTTGATCTAAACTACTGATGTGTTTTGAACCACTGGATGTTTTGTTACAGGATTTAATATCATTTGTTTGGGGATTGTGTCCTTTAATGACAGCATCATTGTGCTGCAGCCCTTTTTTTTCTGTGTCAATGTCAGATTACGCACATTGTGTGCATGTGATTCGATTTGCAGCCGTTATTGATCAGTGTATTGATGCAGCTGGAGTCTGCGTTAGCTGTGCAGATTTAGAACAAAAGGAAAACCTTCTGACGACTGACCGACTGGCCTAGAGAACAGGCATTAGAGAAGTCTTATTGAGTGACCTTATTCAAGCTCATTAAGAGAGTATGCTCCATTGAAGGTTTGATGCCAAATTTACAATTGGAGCAAAACTCGAAAAACATCCAGAATACACATTTAATCAGCCTCTTAAAATGCTATTTTTTAAACTATGTTTCAGGGTTCCTTCTGCAGCTGAAGGGGAGAAATGGAAGGAATCGTTCAGCAACGTAATGAGCAGTGAACGTAAGTCTCTGTTTTTCAATTAGAAACTGATACACCTATTAGAGTAGAACTAGGCCAACAATCTGGTGTCCAAGATCCATATTAAACCCAAAGGACTTTGTCAAAATGCAGATGTTTGAGTCATCGATTCCCCAGCGGAGTCTCTCTCATGATTTCTGAAAATTGAGACACTCAAAGCTTAATATTATTATCCTCATGTGACATGGGCTCCGATCATGGGAATATTTTCAGGCCATGCCCTGACCTTCACATTCCTGGCTAAGTGGCTGCCGGGAAAGATTTGGCAATCTTGAAAATGATGCTTATCTTCTTTCTTCAAGGCACAAAATGAAATATATAAAATAAAACATATATAACAGATGTGCTAATTAAGTTGAATCTTTGTGCTCTAGTCCCTTGATAAATTGATTCTGCGGAAAGTTTGCGTTGGCATTTTCCAAATTAAATAACGGCAATGGGAAATTAAAGAATAGCGGGTTTGAGTCTGATACTGGACTCATACTCACCAGGATTCTGTTGACCAACCATTGGACTCCAATGTTTAATCTGCACCTTGAAGTTCCCAGTCTTTGCTCGAGGGACCTCATCAAGAGGTGCCGGCATATTCAAAAGAATGGTGTGGTTCTATTGGCAGGATCGATATCTTTCTTCAACATGAACAAAATGATCAGTGTTAACTCCTTCATCGTGATTCAATCAAAGCCTGAAATTAATGCATTCATTTTTTTTTAATTGCATGAATCAAGTTTTATTTTGTCCCTTTTCGTGCACCGTAGGTAAGCTATCGAAGTGTCTCCCTGTAGTCACAGTGATAAAAAAAAAAAAGACACCACTGCTTCTTTGAATGACTCGTTACACTTTAATAAACTCCCAGAGTGTGACATCAAACATTTTACTTTCGCTGTTTTCATTTACTGTAATGGGTTCCCTTTTTCCACGGTTGAATTAATGTCATAACCACCGGACATTCATTCATAATTTTTTTTATATCCAAACAGGGAATAAAGTACCCTTAGCTTAAGACGAAAAGTTCTAAATAAAAGAAACTGCTCTGAAACGCAAAATAATGGAATTTAAAACGCAATTCAAAGATTAATCAGGATTCAAGACGTTTGACAGCCCTAATGCTAATGTATGATGAACTCATCTGGAGTGTTGGTGGAAATGTTGCTCTATATACAAACCCACAAGCCCTTAGAGGCATTCTCAGGCTCTGGTCCTCTGCTACGTGTCTCAAGGCACTACTCATTGGCCCCTCAGGGCGTGCTGACCAGTGCAGAGAGAGTGTGTGTGTGTGTGTGTGTGTTTGTTTGTGTATGGCTTTATATATATATATAAAAGCTCTGTGGAATTGCGCTGTGTGAGTCACGGACACTGAAGGGGAGCAATGGCCTTGAGGGAAGCAGCTGAGTTCTGACCCGCTCCGTTCCATGACCTCCTGCACTGAACTCCATCTTCTTTCCCGTCTCCATCTGTCAGTTCTCATTGGATCTGATCTTGGCTTGTTTATCTTGGTCTCCCTGCATCTGTCTTCTGCAGACGTTAATCACTTAGATAAAACTATATAACTTCCATAGAGGCTCTCATCTGCTCTTTCATTAAGCTCCAGTTATTAAAAAAAAAAAAAAAACACTTATCATCTGCATCTTAAATGACAGGATGGGAGTGTGTGTAAGGGCCAAGAAATGTCATCACATTAAGCAATAAAATACCAATGCATTCATAGACTCATTTCTTTTGCAGAATTCAAAAGGCGCATAAATAAGCCTCGGCATTGTGTGTTACCATTAGCTTCACACTTGCAGATATGAGTTTGTAAAGTGCATTTTGAATTAAACAAAAACATGTTTCTTTTTCTGTGTGTCTCAGTGGGTCGCTCAGTCTTCACCAGCTTCCTGAGGTCAGAGTTCAGTCAGGAGAACATGGACTTCTGGGTCGCCTGCGAGGGCTACAAGAACACTGACCCATCAAAGTTTACAACAAGAGCCAAGCAGATCTATCAGCAGTTTGTCAAGGCAGACGCTCCCAATGAGGTAATGATTTTAATTTGAAACATTACACTGGAGAAATGAAATTCATTCAGAGAGAGGCTATCATAACATATCATTTGAGGCTCGTAAATCACTTCTTGTAAACCTAATCATGACTGCATATAACTCTCAATTACAGTGGCTGGGAAATGTGAAACAAGTTTACAGAGATGAGATGGGAAAAACATTTGACATCTTATTAAACCAAATTACAAAAGCAAAATACAGTAACCAAGGACAAAACTAGTTAACATTTTAGAAAACAAATGTAAAAGATGCAAAAGACTAATACGAACGCAGAGACAAATTTACAAGTGGCAGAAAGCGAATGATGTTTCGTCCTTTTTGTGGAACTCACCTGAGACAGTAAACATGATTTTGCTTTTTGTCTGGATGGTCTCTGGAATTGGAAAAAAATGGACGAGATGGGGAGGAATAAGGGAACCTTTTCAGTCTGCTCCGTGTCCTTCAAAATTTCAGAGACTTTTCACATGAAAAGTAAAATTGGCTCAACTGTCTCAGGTGGGTTCCACAAAATGGAAAAAAAAAAAACACAAAACATCAGTCGGTCTGCATAAAACATTTTGCTCAGTCTTTCTGCCAAAACAGACTAACTGACTGCTCACTCAATCACTTAAAGCATTTGGTACATTCCCTTTCTGGAAAGATTTTGTCGTTTGTAAATTTGTATCGGGACTGGTGAAAGTGTTCCACATCTTGTAAATCTGTTTTGTCCTTAGTGAAAGTGTTTCACACTGATATTGTATTTCGTTTGCACTTCTCAGCCACCACACATTATTAACATTCAGACCCAGAAATAAGTCATTTAGCCTTTAGATGAAAGAATTCCCTAGAACATTCTGTACATTCATCAACAATGTTTGTCAAAAAACATCTTCCAGCCAATATATAATTAGAAGCAGTATTATTCCAGTATCTTAACTTGCTCATACTTTTATTCTTTATAATCAAAGGTAAACTTGGACGCTGCGACTCGAGACTTAACGAAGCAGAAGTTGGAGAACGCCTGCCCGTCTTGTTTCGTCGAAGCTCAGAAGATGATCTACACCTTGATGGAGAAAGACTCGTACAGGCGCTTCCTAAACTCTCAACTGATGAGAGATCTGTGTCAGACACGGAAAGCTGCTACTGAGGAGAAGAAGGAGAAGAAAAATTGTGACTCTGCAGAGAACAGGCAGGCCGTAGCAGGAGGTGCTTAAAGTGGACGTGAACAGAGACGACTGGACGAAGGTGCCAAAGATGGCGATGATGGAGAGGGTAGACGGTGGTGAACAGTGTGTTTGTGTCCAGTGTTATATCGAGGTTTGCTGTGAACAATACATGTCCGCTTATTAGCGCACTTTAATGTAACTCAGTATTGCATCAACATTGGGTCAGGTATTTTAAAGTCAAAGGTGTATAGTGAGTGGTTGAAGTTTTAATATCAATCCTTTAGGATACAGAACATGTTGAAATGTCAGCTTTGCTTATAATTTATTTATTTTTACTTATATTTATACACAACCTGCCTGTGGAGGCATGGCCAGGTTATCTTTATACTTACAACAAAAATCTATATAAAGCTGCTGTACTCCCCACTCTTTCATAACATCCCTCATGGGAGTGCATCGTGTTTTGAGAGACTGTAAAAGTGTCCAACACGAAGTTAAATATCAAGTTTTCTCTCTCTCTGTTATGTATGCAGGAGAACACAGAAGCATTTTGCATTCACCTGAGGAAATGAATTCTGCTCTGTTTTTCTGGATTAATGAGATAATTACCTCTAAATTACAAGTTACGTCTTTTATGACAGTGTGAACAGCCCGAGTCACATGGAATCTGATCTTTTCAAATCCGACTGGGACACTTTCATATGTGGATGCTCACAAAAAAATTGAGCAGATTGTTATTTTCTCATTTTCATGCAATACAACTTCTGTCGAATGTTAACATTTCTTTATTGAGTATATTTAAATGTCCTTGCACTCTGATATGTTACATCAAAATGTATCCTAAAGAGTAAACGTGATTGTATGTGGATATTTATAAAATGATTATGTCATTGTCATATTTATATTACGTCTGTGACAATTCTTGAATAAAGTGACGTTTTTGGATAATCTGAACTTTTTATGTTCATCTCATCAAGAGTTTGAAGCCATGCTAAGCAGGTCTTTGAGGCTGAACTGGATCAAGATTCATCAACTTGGCCTCTTAAAAACCTCCACATGCGTACCTGCAGGTTTTCATAGATTGTTGGTTTTGGTTGCCCTGTCTTGTTTGAATTTATTGGACCATCAGATCATGCTGCCATTTGTAAAGAAAGAAGGAAAAGCACACTTAAGCAATGGAGTATGAACCCTGCAAAATACATTTAGATCAGGGCATGGTTGCAATAGCCAGGGATAATTTCAATATTCAATACTAAGATTTAAATTAGTTGAGTGGATTTTAACAGCGTTATTGCACGAAAGATCTGAGAGCAGGGAGATAGATGGGTGGCATGGGCCCCCCTTACAATCTGATTGGCCAGCCGATGTGTCAACCCAAATTCTAAATCTAAGATTGGCTATTTGCCTAATCAGAGGCAGGACTTAAGTTAAAAATCAACTATTCAGGCTGTATTTATCAGGCTTATGGTAGAACTTTCAGCTCTTAATAAATACTTTTCTCTTGCCTTAAAATATGTCGAAGCCTGGACACCGTCTAACTTGCAATGGACCTCCGTGCCAGTAAATATATTTTGCAATTTAGAAACCGTACAAGAGTTAAATAACTAGTTAAGTAACTTAAATATTTTAAATTGTGACTTTGCACATCTTTGTTTTTTGAGTCCTGTAAGAATCAAGCTAAGGAGATTTATATGGTGCCAAATTTTGTTTCTTTCCCCACTAAGTACACATTAGTGGGGATAGAAAGGGTAAAAAAAAGTTCATTTCATTTGGGTAATAGGGTTTGTGTTCATTCTTCAGGGTACGACAGGATTTGGGAGTTTTGTCTCGTTGAGGAGCTGCAGCTTTATAACGACCGCTTCACAAAGACACACATTTCTGCTGCCTTTTTCAATAAACGTTAAACTGATTAAAAATGTCTTTTCAAACAAGATCGATTGAAGAGCACTCTTGCCGATGTCCAGGTAGGCCTTTAAAAGAAAGCTCAAAGAAAGTGGAAAACCATTCGTCGTTACCTAATCTTCCCTCCTATTGGTTGAGCCGAGGTTTCGTTATGGAGTGCTGTGGCCAAGTTTAAAATGTTTTAACTTCCGCACATATGTCTCACGCTGCACAACACATAGACAACGAATGGGTTCATGAGCAGCGGGCAGAGCCCACCGCATCGAAAGGATTTTGACAGGTTAGCATTAAATTAACTATTTCCACATCTTAACTGAAAATGACCTGTTGCCAAGCAACCCAAACATTCTCCTGCACACTTGCTAATTTGATTGTGTCCTTGGTTACCACAGGCCAGCCACTTAGTTTTGTGTACATGTATTTGTGTGTTTTAATTTATAATGCAGGGAGTTAAATACAAGTCTGTTTGGTGATTCAGAGAAACCAGCTTCATTAATCAGGACAAACGGTCTGCTGTAAAGAGGTGAGTTGCTGGGGTGGAGTGATACATATCGTGAAAAGTCGCAGTCAAGTTGTTTTCTATATCAGCACTTATGGAATGCCTCTGGTCCAATCAGAACACTCGATCAGCACTGATGTTTAATACAGCATAGCATACATACAGTTTATGTGGTTGATTCCCACTTACAAATATTTCTGTGTTGTTTTAAATTTCTTAATCTAAGACTAACATTTAATCCAGTTTGTGATGTGATTTATTTAGACTCCAAGACCAAGAAGAAAAGGCTTTTTTATTGCAGCTGTATTCATGCTCACAGCCTGACACCATGCCTTTTTAAGGACACACATTTTAGGACTGTGACGCACAGTTCAGTAAATTAAAAGCTTGGATTTATTCATCAGCACACCTCGATTTACGGAGGCTAGAGAAACAGTTAGTTAATGTTTTTTCTTTTTGCCTGCTCTGCTGCACAGAACAAGTTTAAAATATAGTTGGAAGGAGCCCTGAATCATGTTTTAAAAAGGCAGAAACGTGCACATCATGTGTGCACACTCTCTCTCATACTGAATCTGAGCATCAGCTTGATTTAATTCTGCAGCTAAAACACAGGAGCCTGCAGAAAATGATAAATGCACAAGAGCAAGTGCGCTTAAGATAAACTGTCATCTAAACTAAATCTCTGTGAGCAGGGCAGCAGCTAGATGTGGGACAAAACCTCTACACTTTCAATATAAGCTATAACACCAGTATTTTCCCATATAGACTTTAAATCTATCAATAAATCCAGGAATCTGTGTGTGTTAGTCCAGTTTCTACACAACCATTCGTCCAATGAAAACATTTCAGTTAACAAATTCATTTTCAGTGTCTTCATTTCAGGCTTAGGCCATCACACCAATTTTTTTTTTTAAGTCTGAAATGTAAGATGTCCCTGCCAATCGAGGACAGAGGTGCTGTCTTTTGAATTTTGAAGAGGGCGTCATATTTGGCTCCATCTTGAGATCTTGGGCTGGGCCCCAGGTTGAGAACCAATGCTCTTTGACCACATGATGTGTTGAAGTCGTGACTAAGATCTCCATTAGGGAAGTTATGTTCAATCGAACCCCTTTTGGATGCTTCACCGAAAGTGATTCTGTCTGTTATAAATTGGATTTTAGCTCCACCACTGTTATGACATTTGCTAAGATCCAGTTTCAAAAGGTCTTTAAAAACTAACCTGTGATTGTGTGTAAAAAATAAAAACAAAGTGCCGTGTACCACACAGGATAATGATAACACAACATTTCACTTCGTAGAAGAAAAAAAAAAAACATCCACAGCATCTTCTGTAGGCTCCATATAATATGATGCTTGTGTGTTTGTGTGGTAGTCTTTGCCCACAGCTGTGATATTAGCCAGACTCTGCACAGTCTCAGGCTCCAGGGTCTTATGAGAGCTTTATTTGACATTAACCTGCTTACAGCTCAATGTTCTCTCCTGCTTTTCCAACACAGAGCCACTGAGAGACCAGATAATTAAAACCTGACAGGACATTCTGGTGATCAAATGTGATCAGGCGTGCAGGGAAGCACGTACACACTAACACATGCACTGGCAAAAGCTACAAAATGCTAACACGTAACCATGCAACCACTCCTATTAGCCCCGTACATACATCCCCGGGGCTGCACGTCTGGATCCCTGGTTTATTGTCTTGATGAGTTTTGATAATAAAGAGTGCTGGGATGAAGGGATTCATCTAACTGTGGTGTCAGTTTTATCTTCTTATTGCCTTGGATTTGTTGGCGCTGTTGTTGACATGTTTTATCACGGTGATGATTCATCATTCACTGAGCTGTTAAGGGAGCAATCTTCTCATAAAATGGTTATCAAATATAGTGACCGTCCAAATAAAAAAAGTTAGGCAGACTCATTGAAAACAATCCACAATGTGAGAAAAAACATCGACATATGTGGTGCCATTTCTTTCTTTAACATCTTGTCGTTTCAGTCTGACGTCTAATTTTCTGTCACTATGTGATAGAAAATCAAGTTTTTTGAATCTTGAAGCTAAAGCCATAATAGCGTATAGCTCCTGTGCCTGCACTCTGGGGGCCATGCTGACCAACATCTCCTGTGGCTAACAGACTATTGAAAATTACCTCATACAACCCCACTTCAAACATACCAAACTATCCCTTTAAAGAACATTATATTTGCCACAAAGACGCTTAAAGAATCCAAATTAAAAATAATCCTGAAGGGTGACCTTATCAGGAGAATAGAGATGATCAAACACACAAAGCAGTGAGCTAACTCTCCATTCCTTTATTTCAACATCTTCACAGTTATCAGATAGTCCCTCCAGGACTGAACCACTCAGTGGTTTCGCAAAGTGATACAGGATGCACAATGTTGCTAATTTAATGATTACATTTTCTGATGTTAATGGCTTCAGTAACATTCGAAGGAACGCTGTTGACAGGTATAACCAAAAGTGTTGATTATGAGCTTAGAAAACAGAAACGCATTTTTAAGCCTGTTTAAAGTCCCCACATATATGGAAATGTATTTGAGCTTGTATAGCACTTTCCTAGTCTTCCGACTACTCAAAGCCCTTTTACACAGCATGTCACACCTACATATTCACACACTGATGGCAGAGGCTGCTGTATATAGTGGCCAGCATCTAGTCCTATGCGCCACAGATGAAGCAGCAGGATCAACTTGGGGGGAGTTTTTGTCCCAGAGCAGATGGACATATGGCTGCAGGAGCTGAGGATCAAACCCCCGGCCTTCGGTTGAAAGACGACAAACTCTACCACTGAGGCACAGCCGCCCTGATCGAACCTGATGCATGTCTGCTTGTTAGTGTCTTTGGGACTGCCTTTACATAATTGGCAATTTGCATTGTTGCATCTTTTGCAACAATGATTGCAATTTAATCCATGTAAAACTGTTGAGGTTTGTTTTCGTTCGAGTGGGGATCAGATACATTTTAATTTGCAAAAAAAAAATAAAAAAATTCTTGTAAAGAGATATAGGTGTTATGACCAGTGAATTTAGGACCCATAAACAGAGGGGTTGATTGGTAATGAGGAATATTGTGGCAAATGGAGATGAAGATGGGTTGAAGATTCTGGAGGTCAGTAGAGTGAAGTGGATGAAGGCTGAACAGACCAGAGTAGGGGTGTGAGTGTGGCTGAGCAGTTTTGAGTCCAGAGAGCAGGTTGAGGTAGATGGCTGAGCAGGAAGGCAGGAGGGTGAAATGGTGATCCTGAAGCAAAGGAAAAAACTGGATGAGACTCATAAAAAACTAGCAATTAGCCTGCGCCGTAGTCTACCGCAGTAGTTGACACAACGATCCGGCGATGAGTGGATGGAGAGCCGGGGTATATATACTGCTGAGGTGATGAGGAGATGGAGAGCTGGTGTGCAGGTTTGAGCAGGTGAAAGGAATGAACCTCAATCACGAGGGAGCCACAGAGTGAGAGAGCCATGACAATAGGTGCATTTAAAGACAACTCAATGACCACATTTAAGAAAAACCTGTTGAAAATATTCTTTACAA